TCAAGTCCCTGATAGGGGGGGGGGCAAAAGGAAGAGGCCCGCCCCGGGACGAATGGTGGTAGAGTCTTGTGCAGGCAGTTGCTCGGCGAGTTCGGGGCGGTGATTAGGAAGCCGGGCCCGATGGGTCGTAAAGCCAATGCTCGCGGAGCGCCTGTTACACCTTACACCCTTGATAAGGTCTTCGACGGGGGCGTCGCAACGCAGCCCGTCGGGAATTAGCAAACACGTAGCAGCGCTACACCTCTGTACTGCCCGATGGCAAAGTACGGACACCGGAACGGTCGCAACCTGTATCCGATGGAACCAACACCGTCCTGTATACACAACAGGACCTTCGAGGGAAACGTCGTTGCAACAGCCTCCGTCAGTGAACGTAAACAAGTAGCAGCGCTACACCCACGTGTCGCCCGATGGCCAAGACACCTACACCGGTCCGGTCGCAACCAAAGCCGATGGCACCAACAACAAACAAAAGAACCAACACAAGAGCCCGATGCCTCCAGTCGTCACAATGCGGATCGCAATCAGGCACTGTGGAACCAACGCAAGATAAGGGAATAGAAATAGAGATAGAAATAGAAAAGGATAGGTGAAATAAAGGAAAAGGAAAGGGAACCCCCGAGCGCAAAGGATAACGTAATTTGTGGTAAAAGGGAACGTCTTGGGAAAGACGGACTTCGACCAAGGCGATACTCAACTCTGGCAACTCGGGTTACCTTTACTGACTTGGTGGTCAGAGGGCTAAGGTATATATCGCCCCGCCGGAGCCACTACAGTAGCTCGCGGCGCTAGATCCTAGATCTAATCTAGTGTCAGCAAAATTAATGCCAACTAATTAACTAAATAAAATAAAATAATTAAAAATTGAAACTGTGCAATTATTCACACGTGTGTCCCCCAACCCGGACTACTTTTCATATCCAAATATTTTCCTTTCGTTTCACCCCCCTTTTCAGGTGCGTATTGCACTACACTTTAGAGCCGTTCCGGACGAGGATTCTTCATCCACAGTGGTGAGCGCGGTCACCACCTCGCGTTGGACTTGAGCGGGTAGAAGTTTGTCCAAAAGCGGTGGTATCGCGCTGCGTACGTGCGCGTCCACGAGCGCGGGCACCGTTCGGTCGAGGCATACGCACGCTACCTGGGGGAGTTCCATAGCAAGAAACTCCTCGACCCAGGCCTGGATGCGTGGCTGAATCGCGTCGACCATCCATTGGACGCGATTCTCAGTGCCTGCCGACGCGTCCGGCGTAACATCCGATGCGGACGCTCGCGTGCGGCCCGGTCGCGGTGGCGGTCGCAGCAGGGCTTCCGGGTTGTCCACCCGGGGGCGCGGTGCACCACTGCCACTGCGGGTGCTCAGACGTCCGGAGGCGGAGTCTCCCCCTTCTTCCGGTTGGTTCATCGTCGAATACGCTTCGCGATCGACGCGGTGATTTCTCAACCATTTCCGTCCGTACGGTTCTGCGCGCGATCGCGCGACTACGCGTGCAGATCAACCTCAATAGCTATCCCCTCCACAAGAGTACGAAAATGTGGGATACCTCCTCTCCGCCCTGGGTTCGGTGAGAGGCGGAGGCTTTAGCAAGGGAGCACGCGGCGCGGACGCGACGCGCTAATTGAACCGATCGGGCGAGCTCGCAAAAAGGGAGTGGCTGACTGGCTGGTTTCGCGCAGTCGCCACGTGATGGGTAAACAGGAGCGACCGGTAACGGGTTAGAAGCCAGCGCGCGCGATAGAAAACCGAAACAGACGTACGTAGGCGCAAAAGGGACGGGGCGAGCTTGCCCCAGTTTACTGTTGGGGACGGGTGTCAGGTCTTAACCCTTCAGAGGGACGCCTCGGACACCCGTCTCAGTGTACAGTACCTGCCGCCTAGTGCGTACCAGGTACTGTACCCAATTAAAAAACTAGCGCCTCAATTCCCAATCACCGCGTGGACGCTGCAGCTACACGTGTGTACTACTGTACACACGCGTTGCTTACAGACTACCGCACGGATGCCGCGTGTGCTAGCGTACACGCGTAATACTAGCAGACTACCGCTTGGCCGACACGTGCACTACTGTACACGTACGCCAGATTCCGACTGCTCGGCACGCGCACGCACTCGCTACAAGTGGGCACCACCGCCCACGTGTATACCATACACGGCCGTCCGATGACCTCCGGACGCCCGCGCCGGTCATTTTACTACAGTTGTCAACAGATCCTATCCCTCACTCATCGAACTTTCGTTGAGAGCGTATATACTCGTGCATCGAACGATACAGCCACGAAGTGCTTTCTTTGCGTTTGTACGGGACGAACAGATCTCTGTCCCCAGCATACCTCATATATGCCAACCCGTGCTCTGCCCGGAAAGGTATAGATCTCTCCTTTTGTAAATGTCTGAGTCTACATAAAGTGATATGTCTGACTCCACCCCTTTGTAAGTGATTTGGATTCTGATGAATCGACCAACCAGATCATATAATATCATAAAAGAGAACACATGAGCCTTCTTGTAGCCATCGTATTCCCTTTTTGCATCTCTGAGTCTTTGGGCGCCATCTTCGGTTCTTGTCACCATCAACAAAAAAACAAAGACGGCAAAACAATCAGCAGCCCTCCATGGCTTCGTCTGGCCAACGGATGAGGCGAGGAGACATGCTGTCGAGAGTGAGATGTAAGTTTAGAATTGAATGTCGGAATTAGTTAGACACAGATGCGATCGACATACCGTACTTAAGTTTTATATGTTCAAGGCCCCGACTACCTTCATTTAGACCGCCAAAGATATCGAATAAAGTGAAAAGCATCTCCTTCGTGTCTAGTTTCTTCTCCTCCTAGGAATGCGCATACTGTCGCCGTCATGATGACCACGAACGTTAAGCAGAATTTGTAACTCTGTATGAACAAGGGCGTGTAAAACCGTCAAACTCTTCGTGAGACAAATGGGTCAGTTAAAAGAGAGAAGTCGGGGTCTTCCTCGCGGACGGCCGTGTTTGACATGTTCGAAAATGTACATGTCTGGAGGACAGCAATACGATTTATGAAAACTTTAACGCACTAAAGCAATTTTCTCCCTATATTTTTTGGTACTTTTCAAACTAGCTGGCAAATGAGCAATTTATCAAATTTGATCAAATTTAGTATTTTTTTTGCTCTTTTGCTATTGTGTTGGTGGAGATTTTCTAAGTGTGCAATGAAAATAATAGGGATATACTCACAGTGACGGAAGGGGATTGCTGGTCCAGCACATTGTGGACTACAGTGATTTTCTTCATCTGTTTCGAAAGTAGATTAGTTTCATTTCGAGAGTAGACATTGAGCAAAGCATTTGTTCTCAAAGTACATTTACAACTCTGCCTAATTTGTCCTCTTTCAATAATATGGACCGACTTTTGTTTCTTATGAGTGTGGAATAAAGTACGCGAAAAAGGGCTACAGCGCGAAAGTATTGATGGAGTTCAGGATCTTCTGTGTTTCCGACGAAAAAATGGAAGTAACAGTCCTCAGCTCAACCACAAGACGCTGTGGCCGGAAACATGAGCTTCGCGAAATGTCCTAGGCAATCAAGCAACCGAAGTTTACTTATTTATGACTGACATCCCGGAAGCTGCCAGTCTATCATTTTAACAGACTATGCGGGGTTTAGCAAGAGACAAAACCATTTCCGCCATTCTTTGAGAAGGGGATGCCGATATCTGGAGGCTTCTGCCGCACGGTGAGCCGCAACGGTATCTCACTACATTTTCTTAAACACCTATCGATGCAAGCTCGGGCCTTTTTTTCGACGGAGGGACAGAGAGGAAGCATGTGACGTATTACAAAAGTCACATGGCTCTGCTTTGAGAGCACCAAGTATTTATGAAAATATTTTCCTGAAGAGTGTAACTTTTAAATAAAAATATTTTTGAAAGGTATTTTCAGCAACCCTGTGCGACTGTGGAGCATTTTGATGGTAGTGTGGGGTTTAGGGGATTAAAACGCCGAGGTGTTTTTCGCATTTCTGCGGAAAAAAGTATAAGGACAGATATAAACAACCCCGAATATTTGTTCTCTTCGAACTGTAGCGATTGTTAGCGAAAGCGATTGCTTGAAGAATGATAAAAGCCTTTCCTCATCCTGGAAGATCCTTTCGTCCAGGCTTGGGTTGCCTGAGCCACTGCTTTTCATTTTACATGATCTGTTGCGACCATATGAAGCGTACGCTCGTTGCAAAGAACAGTTCCACTCGCTTTTCGACAGTAAAACTTCTGCATCTCCCTTGTACATACAGTACCCAAGGGTATTGTTATTGGCAGTGTTTGCCTCATAAATTCCCTGCTTATGAAGTGTACTGTGTTTTTATTACTGTCAGGGCAAGCGTGAGAGCAAGGCTGCAAAGATCGCGCAGGGGTGCTACGAATTCGCCCCCCAAAATGTGAATCATGAGCTGCATGCATGACTTTGCCAATAAAAGTAGTTACGTGCTGCACATTCATTCTGAAAGACGCACTTGCACGATGCACAGGATAGTCAGAAGGGCGGGGGTTTAGAATAGATTCATTAAGAACTCTTGAGAGGCACTCCGTTGAGAAATAAACTTTTATATAACGATCTCACACATGACATAGGAGAAGAAAGAGGGGTCTCGAGACGGTTGCTGTTTTCGCAAGGCCCTGTAACGTGAACAGGAGCAATCTGCTGGACGGATCAAGGTTGAGAGTCATTCTTGATTCCAGTCACTGCGTGCTCCTGATTCTACGCTTGGCTGATATCCCATACCGACGATCGCTATTTGATGCACAGCATGAGTGCAGCGATTTTTTTTGGAGCCCACAGCTCTTCATATGGCGAAGCTTTCTCTAGAGTCATCATAATGCAGTTAGTTTTCCATTCTGGAGGCGAGACCAGCGTGGCGACTCATAATCGGTAGGTCCTAGGCGTCGTCGCGAACACGATACACCTACAGTTCCACAATGTGTCCTAATCCGCACGTTTCTCCGCAATCTCCTTGGTGGGCGCGCAATTTCTATAAATCTCTATGAGTTTTACGATATAATATTCCGCGTCAGTGGCAATCTTCCGAACAGGGTCATGGAAGGTGTAACCGCCCAGATCAATGATAAGAAACAACCTAGAGACCATTGAAGAAAGTCAGTCAATTCGAATGCAAAGGAGCCCTTTGCAAATGCATGGAACCGCACGATCAACACGTCATTCCGGCTAGCTGCTCGCAAACGAAAAAATGTTGAGGAGAAACAGGAAGAGTTGGGTGACATCAATGTATAAGGAGATGACGGCAATGACCCAATCGTCGGGGCCATAACGCGTCATCACCATGGAGGTGTCGAAAAGAAGGTACCCAGTCATAAGCGCGGCTAGAGAACGAGAAGGATGAAGTCAAGTGACAAGGGCAAGCAACGAAAGAAGCGGAACGGAAGAGAACAAGTAATTGAACATGTCAGTTATCGCTGATGGAAAGTCACTCAGGTGTTGTTAGCTGAGCCGAAGCTGGAGTGTACGTACCCTGTTCGTTGTTGAATTTATGAGTCGTTTGGACGGATGCGGCATAGAAAACGCAGTTCGCAACAAGTAGGATAAGCGAGAGGAAAGAGGAGAAGAGATGTCAGCTCCGGGCCCGACATAGACCTGGAATCGCGTAATGGCAATCGCATAGATGTAGAAGAATATGTGCACTCGTTCACGTACACTAAGTTTGACCAAGCGATAGAAAAGCAAAGAGTAAGAAAAGCACGCAGGAAGCAGGAAAAAGTGGAGCAGCGGACAAGCAAGGCAGTTAGTATTGACAGGACAGGTGGAATTGGAAGGACGGGGAGACGGTTAGGATGAGGGAAAGTGAAACGCACCCGACCAAGGAAATAAGAAAGCTTCGGGTGCGACTAAAGCCTCCAGTGGCCCAGGTGATGGCATAGTTGATGACGATGAGGACGACGAGGACTATCAAGCCAGCGCTGAGTGCGCCGTAGAGAAAACTGAAGTCCTTCTTCGTGATAAAGACGTAGATGGTGATGACAAGGAAGACAGCGGCAGTGGCGATAAAGGCCTTGATAACGATTCCCCCCCAACCGCGTTGAAAGTAATTTGCGACGATGGAGCCGATGAGGACGGAAAAGGCGGCGACGAAGACATACATGAGGATGAGATTGAGCGGGAAGGAGATTTTCTTCATGCAGGCCAGGACGAGGAAGGCGGCGAAGGCGACGCCGATAGAGAGATACAAGACCCATTGATTATTGACGATATAATCTTGGATTGGGTCGACACTTGCGAAGACAATGGAGACGGCAATAGTGATGGCGAGGTTGATGGTGAGCAAGGTGTAGACCTTGCGCAGGAAGGCGAGGCGGACGGGGACGTCGGCGGTCTTGACGTTCTGCGGCGCGGTGGCTGGGGCCGGGACGCCGGAAGACTGGGTACCGCCGAGGTTGGCAAAGAACTTCATGGGTGCGGTTGTCCGGTGGTAGACGGGGGGGGGGGGGGGGGGGGGGCGGGGGAACCCGGCCCCGGAAAATTTTTCAAAAACCGGGGGGGAAACAAGGCCCCGA